AGAAAGCCTGTTTCTAGGAATCTTGCAGTCGATCCGTCATGTTCCGGCCTCTGTTTCGGTTGCCCCTTTGTGGAGCGCTCTCCATTACAACGATTGTGGTTCTTTAACCCCGACCTTTTGCCGACTTGTCTCTGTTTTGAAGCGTTTCGGGCTCTACGACACCACATGGACTTGAGTCGAGATCGTCGAATTTTGCCAGGATCTCTAACTATGTCAATGGTGTGTAGTCGATGGCGACTCTTTCCAGGGGGGACTCTTCTTTTAAGTTCCTACAAGCCCCTCTGTTCAGCCCCCTTCCTTAGTGCTTGCGCGCTAAATACTACTAATAATGGACCTTGAAGTCTACGTGACCTGCGTGAACCTCTGTTTAGGCTTGTTACTTTCCCGAAACGCCCTTTCTAGAAAGCTTGTGGTCGCTTCTCATCGATACTCCTTTGTTTCGTCTCTGTTCCGGGCCTTAAGTGGGATCAAGCTTCAACCTCGGTCCAAAGTATGCAGTGGCCTTTGTTCTTTGATGCATTCAAACGCCAGGTCGAATCTCCTAGACCGATACATGGTAAAAGTATGAACACTTCCCGAGATTCATGCTACAGGTGGCAACGACCGGGGGATTTGGCGCTCAACGGGTTCGACAAACGGCACTCTGTTTTCACGTGGGGAACCACATGGGCGTGGGCATGGAACATAGGGTGGGCCTACTCGCTTGCGCTAGCGGTTCCTCCACAGGGGGGCCCAAAGGCGGAGAGATTCTTCCCCAAGAAGAGCCTCGGGCATCCCTGGCGGTTCTACCAGTGGTACAAGGCGACGCCATGGGCCTTCCTCCAAGAAGTGAGAAATCACAACTAAAAGTAGCTTGATCAACCGCACGTTTGCCAGAGACACATCAGTTAACTCGGGATGCTAGACCACCTTGCCAAGGGCCCAAATGATCATGTGCCAACAAATCTGATTGCAAGCTGCGCTTCCACTAGCTGCGCACGCGACCACATCTATTTTAAAATCTCATGAGAGCTTCGCTTGGTTCTTAAATGATTCGGAATGTCCGCTCCCTCAAACTTGTCAAGCGCGATTGTGACACCGTCACTTGTGGTAAACAGGTGTTCCGAGCGGAATTCATATCCGGTCTGTCGCCGCCTGCTGCCCAAGAATACCACGCTCAGCTGGTGCAGTATGCCGCCAATGAACCAAGGCTCCAAGCAGCAAGGCTCCAAGCAGCAAAATGGTAAGGTGCTCTATCAAGGTACAGTATTAATCTCGAGCGAATTCAGCGTACTTGCAACATCTTACGAGTCTCTACAGCCGCAACAGTTAGAAAAGTATGAGGACAGAATTCCCCCTTTGCAATGAATCACGTTTACGACTAGTTGAGGGTATACTCAAGTGTCATACTTTCATTGAACAGGTACAGACTTGCGCTCCAACAGCTTGCCAAGCGGGGTGAGGAAGAGGGTTCTCTGCCCGATATGGCCGAGAGCGGAGAGCCCCAGGACGCAGTGTGAGCATGCTTCAAGCCATTCAAACGCGTTCAACTTTCGCTGCAATCTGTGCTTGCTTTCCGTTGATCATCGCTCTTGACAAACGGAGGCTTTAGAGCCTGACCAGACGATTTCAGAAACTCCTTCATTGAAGCGGTTCTTTTGCTCGTCGGGTGTTTTTCGGGGTTTCTCTCAATCTGTTGGGGGACGGGATCGGTGAGCCAATTATTGTGACCGGAGGAGAGGCCAGAGAGGTGGTCGGTGGCATGATCGTCGAGCCGGTTCTTTTGCTCAGTATTTTAGAGAGAATTCCTAGCACGGAAGATGACGCCACCTTTCTCGAAGTCGAGGTCGATTCATAATATGTTGGGCTAGGTTCTTTTGCCACGCCATGGACGCTTACAGACCAGAGGTGAACACAATTTGCGCCTAACAGCTTGTAGACACAACTCAACTGAAACAATTGCCATATTGACGGCTCCACTCGCTTCCCTCTCTCACTTTTGTCGCTTCAACCGGCAGGACTGTGACTGCGGTCGGGGGAGCGGCCCCTCAACCGGGTCAACATGACAAACGTAAAGCTCCGGAGACTGGCAGGTAAGCTCGTGTCGTGAATTATGAAGTGCAACTTTACATCCTCCCTAAGCTCGTCCGAAAAGCATGCACAAAATTTTCACCGGTCGATCTGTTCGTCTTCCTCTTGCCTATTCTCCGCGATTGTGTGTGCAGTGTCGCCGAACAGGTCACTACTCCGGCGGAGCCCCGCCCAAAGCGCTCTAGACAACTCCCCCCACATAAGCCATCGAAGTCACTCATGTGACTGTCAAACCTTCCAAACGCGTTGAAGTTTTGCTGCAATCTGTGCTCGATTTCCGTCGGCCATTGCTCTTTGCAAACGGAAGCTTCAGAGCAAGGACTATTCAGAAACTCCATCATTAAAGCGGTTCTTTTGAGCTCGTCGGGTGTTTTTCCGGGGACTTCTCATTTTCTTGGAGGAGAGGATCGGTTAGCCAGTTCTTTTGACCGGGGGAGAGGCAAGAGAGGTGGTCGGTGGCCTGATCGGGTAGCTGGTTCTTTTGCTCAGATTCTTAGAAGGGGATTCGTGTCACGTAAGATGCCGCCACCCTTTTCAGGACTTGGTCGATTCAGGAACTTGTTTCGCGTCTGGCGATTTTGTCGCACCATAAACTTTTGAAGCTAAGGGATAAGAACGACTTGCGCTTTACAGCTTCAAGACACAACTCTCATGACCCACGTGCGTTATGGGCGGCCTCCTCTCCCCCACCCTCTCTTACGTTTGTCGCTTCCATCCGCAGCACTGAGAGTGCGGTCGAAGGAGCGGCCCCTCAACTGGGTCAACACAGCAAACGGAAACCTCGGGAGACTGGCAGGTAAGCTCGTGTCGTGATTCATGAAATGCAACGGGTTTGGTTAGCCAGTTCTTGTGAACGGGGGAGAAGCAATAGAGGTGGTCGGTGGCCTGATCGGGGAGCCGGTTCTTCTGATCAAAATCTTAGTGGTTACGCAAGATGACGCCACTATGTTTGGGGTCTTGGTCGATGCAGGAATTTTTTTCGCGTCTGGTTCTTTTGCTGCGCCATGGTCGCTTGCTGTTCAGGAGCAAGAACGACCTGCGCTTTACAGCTTGACGACACAATTCTTATGACCCAATTGCCTTATGGGCGGCCTCCTCTCCCTTCCCTTTATTCCTTTTGTCGCTTCCATCCGCAGAACTGAGAGTGCGGTCGAAGGAGCGGCCCCTCAACCGGGTCCACAAAGTAAACGCAAACCGCCCGAGGCTGGCAGGTAAGCTCGTGTTGTGATTCGTGAAAGGCAACGGGTTTGGTTAATCAGCTTTTGTGAACGGGGGAGAGGCAAGAGAGGTGGTCGGTGGCCTGATCGGGGAGCCGGTTCTTTTGCTCAGATTCTTAGAAGGGGATTCGTGTCACGTAAGCTGCCGCCACCCTTTTTGTAACGGCACGACTGCGCACCGACTCCCGGCTGCGCGCTGAACTCGCGGCCGCGCATCGTCCGTTATTATACGCTATCGACTTATTTGATATATTGATTCACTACACGCCACGTGTCCAGGTTACTGCTTCACCGCGTGACCGTCCGATAAGACCCACGTGCACCGCGCGCCTGGGAACCGTCCGATAAGC